CACTGGGCACCAGTCTATGCCAGCTTCCTGCCTAGCAGCCTCCCCCACCCCAGTTTCTGGAGTTGCAGCTGTCCCACCTCCTCACCCCAAGTGGGCACCGTTCCCCCCGTGTGCCCAGGGCAGGTGGGTGTGGTGTCCACCCTCGCCCCCCTCCTGGTGCCCACCGTGGATACTGCATGACGTGAACCATGGTTTTGAACTCCGTTCCTGCTCCCTCCCTGAGAGCCCCGCCCTGCCCGCTCTGAGCCTGCCGTGGCTGGGGCCCCGCCGGGGCTGGTGGGCGTCGGCTGGGGCGGGGGGCAGGCGGGCCCCTGCCCAGCGCCTGCTGGAATGAGAAGCACAGACTCTGCAACGGACTAGTTTTTCCTCCTTCCCCTGCTCCAGTTCCCCAGCGGCCAGGCCGGGCTGCCCCCCTGCCCCCCTCGCTGGCCATTTTGGGGGCGGCGAGGGGGCGTGGTTGTTTCTTGTGGTTGTGTGTGTTTGTTGTTCGGGTTTAAAAAAAAAAGGGAAATTGAGACTGCAAGTGGGGGAGGTGGTGGGCTTGGGGGGGGTCTCCCCCAATCCGGGCATGCCCCCCCCTTGTAAACGAGTCTCCTTTATTGCCTGCCTCTGCTGTGAATTAACTTGTTCTGTGTATTAAACTGGGCCTGACCCCTCTGCCCACGACTGCCTCGTTTTCCAGGCTGGACCGGGGCGGGGTGGGGGCATCGCCATGAAGGGGTGATGGGGGCCTTGTTAAGGGAAAACTGACCGAGGTTAACAGCTGGAGCCGGCCCGACCTCCCTCTCCCTCCATTCCCCCCCCACCCCCCGCCTTTCTCTGGCTTTGTCCCAGCTCCTCCCAGCCTCGCCGGAAAGGAGAGGGGGGGATGGGGTGGAGGGGGCTCCCGCCCAGCCAGCTGTGGTTGCCCTGGCAACGGCCTGCGGCAGCTGCAGCGAGCAGCGGTGAGGGGGGGGAGGCGGGAGCTGGGACGCGGGGTGGAGGGGGGGAGAAGGGATGGAAAGATGAGGAGGCCGCGCTCCCGGGCTAGGGTAGGGGGCGGGGGTGCCAGGAGCACCTCCTCCCAATCCCACCCCCCCCCCACCCGACCTCCCCTGGGGTCCTCCATCCCAGGGATGTTGGGAGGGAAGCAGATTTGGGTGAGGTGGGATGAGGAGAGAACCAGGACGCCGAGAGATCAGGAGGGAGACACAGAGCCACACATTTATAGAGAATCGGAACAAGAGCAGGAGAGGGAAGAAATAGATCTGGAGAGAGAGGTAGAAGAGCGAGCCACAGGAGTGACGGGGGGTGGGGGTGGGGGGGAGAGAACAGAAGAGAGACGGAGATTCAGTGGGAGAGGAAATAATAGTAAGAAAAAATAGCAGACACATCAGGGAGAGACAGAAGGAGGAAGTCGAGAGTGATCTGGAGAAGCAGGAGAGATTCGATGAGGGGAGGCAGAGAACCCGGGCACATAAATTAGGAGAGAGACAGAAGAATAAGAGGGAAGCACATTTGGGGAGAGAGACAGGATCCGGGGACAGGTAGAGTCCCAGGACAATGACACAGAGATGAGACTTCAGGGGAGAGGACAAAGAATTTAGGGAACAATAGAGAAATGTGGAAAGAGCCTAAGGTATGAAGGGCTTCAGAGCTTGGCTGGGGACCGAGCCAGGGGTGATGGGCGAGAGGGCGAGACTGGCAGAGCGTCCAAGAGGGCACCCGCTGCAGATCAGGACGTGACCGCGGAAGGCGAAAACTGGGGCAAGATGGGGACGGGACCAGCAGGGCACCAGTGTGGGTGCGAGTTGCGGGGCGTTGGACGTTGGTGTGTCACAGGCGCCAGGAGAGGATGTGAGAACAGCTTGTTCTACCGTTCCCGTGCTGGTGGGGGGAGGGTGGCACGGGGAGAGGATGGGGCCTCAAGGAGGGTGGAGACTGGGAGAGTGTCTGGAACACTCTAGAATTTTTGGGAGATGTGGAAATAGCTGGTCCACCTCCTCTGGAAAAAGGCTATGCCCGTTTTGGAAAAAGATATTTTTTCGGGGGGGGGGAGGGGAGAGGCTGAGTCAGAGAAGCATCAGGTTTTAGCTCAGAGATGGAAGACCCAATGACAGGTAAGGGGGTGAGGTGGGTCAGGAAGACTTGGCCACCTGGCCAGCCCTGTCACGAGGTTGGGCTGCTTCTCACACAAGAGGCCAGACCTTGGATTTTCACGTGGAATTCTGAGATTCAGAAAATCAGGGGGACCCTGATCCCCAGGTCAAACTGCGAGTGTTTCAGCAGGGCAGCTGCGGAGCCGGGCCACGAGAGGCCCTAGAGGGAGGCCTGGCTCAGGGGCGAGGTTATGGGGCACCCCCGCCTCACTGTGTTCCCCCCTGGCCTGGAAGCAGGGGCTGATTTGCACCCGAAACCACGAACCGGACGATTGGCGGTGGGAGGCTTCCTCCCACCGATGAGGGCGGGGCCATGCAAATTAGCCAGTGCCGGGAGGGTGTGGCCTGGGGAGGCCTCAGCCGAAAGAGGCAGGGGGCCCCTTGGCTCGGAGTCCCGCTGCAAAGGACGGATTTACCAAGCTGGAAATCCGGCTGTCTGTACTACCTCCAGATTTTTAAAAGTTTGACCATTAAATCTAAAACCGGCACACTCCGTGGGCCTGGTCTGGCTTTCTGGCCGCTACAAATGGTTTCTTTGGTGCAATCTCTCCCTCTGTTCAACTTAAGGACTTTTTACCTTCTGAGTGCTGGGTTCCTGTCATTTGGGTTTCAAGGAAAGGAAGTTTGCAAGGCTCGTGCTGAGGGGAGAGTTGTGTGTGTGTGAGGTTGCGTTTGGGACAAGGGCGACAGGAGAAGGGGGCTGACGCTGGACCACACCCTCCCATCAGTGACTCCAGGCAGCTGCCCAGCTAGTGAACACACAAGGCATTTCTATGAAACATTTATTTGCTTTGAAACCTCCAGAAACATGCCAGAAAAATCTCAAGACCGGGATGGGGGGGAAAAAAAGACAATAAAGAATAAAAAATCCCAATGAAACAGATCAACATATGAAAAAAAAAAAACCCTGCTATCTTCAAGCCTTCAGATAAAACACCAACCTCAAATTAAATAGATTTCTTTTGCAGAGATCCTTAAAAAAAATAACAGAAAACAACACCAAAAAAAAAAAATCATAATTTACACTTGTCAATGTACATGATTAGGTCCCCAAAATGATTCGAATGATCTGAAGATGTGAGGAGAACTTAAAAAAAGAGCGGGGGAGGGGGCAGCCTCCAGGTTAGGGTCTGAGGAAAGGGCGGCGGGGCGGGTCCTGGACAGCCCTTCCAAAAAGGGGGTGGGGAAGAGGGGCAGAGATATCACAGTAGTTGGCCAGGGCTGAGGACCAAGCGGGCCCCACCTTGAGGCCCTCTCACTCCGCGGGTGAGGGTGAGGGTGAGGGACAGAGACGGCAGATCTGAGGGCTTCTGCCGGACTGCCGCGCTGCTAGGGTCAGAGGTGGATCGCAGGGAGACAAGAGTGCCCTTTCCTCTTGCCCCTGCTGGCCCAGCCTGGCACCTCTCCGAGTGCCTGTGTCCCGTGCGGTCCCCACAGCCCCCTTTCCTGAGGTTTCTGGCCCCAAAGAGAAAGCGGTGGGGTCTCTGGACCAGGGCTGGGCCACCTGGTGCTGGCTTCCAGCCCAGAGAGTGCTGCCTGCAGCGGGGCCAACTCCCCCTGCCTGGGGCCTCCCCAAACGGGAAAGTCCAGTGGCCTGCTCCCCCTGACTGCATCCCTCAGGAGTCCTCCCACTGAGTTCCAGCCCTGGGGGGACACCCCTTGATCCTCAGCTTGAGGTTGGGGGGAATCCAAAGATTGTGGCCATACAGACTTGTTCTGGCGCAACTCTACATGAAAAAATAAATATATATATATATATCTTTCTTGTTTTTAAAGGAAAAAAAAAAGAAACTCTGTTTCCTGGGTGAACAGCGTAGTACCGCTCTGGCCTGGCCGACTGGCAAGCTGCCCCTTATTGCCTTGAGAGAACCAGCGTCCCGTGGGGGTTCACATGGAAAAGCCCCCCGTCCCCAGGGAGCACAGTGAGGGTGTCCGGACGTCCGCTTGCGAAGGAAGAACAAAACCAGAGAGGAGCTGAAGGCTGTTTTCTCTCCAGCCCTGACCCGAGGGCTGCGTGGAGCCCCTCCTGGTGCCCGGAAGAGGCCCTGGCCGTGTGGTTGTTGCTGGCGGGGCTGGGGAGGAGAGATGGGCCTTTACAGCCCAGGCCTGCGCAGGAGATGGAAGGTGGTGGAGCGGCCCAGGTGCTGTTGGCCTCTGGCGGTCGGTCGAGGGGCTGATAGAAAAGACTGCAGAAACGGTCCCGAGTGTGCAAATAGAGTTTCCCCTCAGAGAAGCTGACTCTGGATGCTGGGGCTTCCTCTCTCCACCCTGGGGTCCCAAGAAAAGAACTGAAACTCTAAGAAAGTGCTCCTGGTGGCTTTTTGGAAGAATATGGTTGGAAGGGGGTCAAGTCCGTGCTTTCTGGAGCCCCGGCCGGTGTCCATACAGGACCTCCGCTCTCTGGGGCCTGGGGGAAGCTCAGGCCAGTCTCACACTGATTCCTCATGCAGGGGGCTTAGCCCCACAAGCCCAAACTCCGTTGTACGCCATGAAGAAACCTGGTTTGTGGACTCCCAGAGCTGTGGGGTTTGGAGACACACTCTGGTCCTCCCTTCTCCTCTTCCTATGGCTTCTGATGGCTTGGTCCTAGGAAGAGGCTAGAGTGGCCTCCCCCGGGGGGCCGGGGTGGGCACGGTCCAGTGTCCAGGGGCCAGAGCTTGGCAGTTCAGAGGGGCGGCCTGAGACTGGGTCACCTTGTGGGGCCGGAGGACTGGCGAGGCCTGCTGCCGTCCAGGGTCTCCGTGTCCACGAGGAGGGCAGTGGGGCCCTGGCTGCGTCATCTCGGTCACACCGGCAACTGGGCAGCGAGCTGAGGGAGACGGGAGGGCGGGAGCCCACAGCCGGCCCAGCCAGGGGGCCACCTCAGAGCTCCTTCTTCTCCCTGCAGAAGATCTCAGCGAACTTGCGCAGCTGCTCGCTGGCGGCCTGTGACTCCTCCTGCAAGCGCTGGTTGTTCTGTCGCAGGCTGGCCACCTCGGACTGCAGCACGGCCTTGTCCTGCTTCTCCTGTGGGGTGGGGCCGGCGTCAGCGGGTGCGCAGAGCCAGGTGGCCAGGGTTTGAATCCCAGCTCGGCTGCTTGGCAGCTGAGCGACCCTGGGCAAATGGCCTCATCTCTCTGGACCCGTCCCCCTCAACTCTTAGAACACAGACCTCACTGTAATCATTATCACCCCAGTTTACCCTCACAGCCGCCTGCGGACTTCGGGACTGCTGTTAGCCTCAGGTTCCCAGGAGGGAGAGGAAACCCAGCCTTGCACAGCAGGCAGGGAGCTGGGATGCGGACGGACATGGGCTGCCTGTATGGGCTCCGCTGGCCCTTCTGAGATGCCCTTCCAGGCTCTGTGACATCCCAAGGCAGCGGACTTGTCCAAGGTCACACAGCAATACACGGGGTGTTGGAACCTAGGCCCCTAGGATTCCTGTGCTTGAGACTCGCACAGTATATGCTGCCACCTGTCTTTTAGCCCGAAGTATATAAAGCACCAAGTAGAAGTCCTCTGCCCTTACTTCTCTCCTCCTTCTACATCCTGGAGGTAAGTACAACAATTTGCAATGCTGCCTTCTAGATAACGCTCTGACCCACGGACGCTAAACTTTTTTTTTTTCAAGTATGACGATGTTCTAGGCAATAGTCTGCAGCTTGCTTAGTTTCCACTTGAGTGACTAGACTTCCTTTGCATGTCAGTAAATATGCAGATTCCTGCTAGTGTTTTAATTGGCTGCAGAATATTCCACGGCTCCACTGTCCTGTCCTTTATATAACCACTCTCCTGTGGAGGGGGGGCCTGCTGCACTGGCGCCAAGTTTTTATTGCCAACAGAGCATCAGTGAACATCCCTGCTCACGGATCTCTGGCCCCATGCTTGCAATTCTGCTGGATAAATTCCCACAAGCAGAATTGCGCGATCGACAAGATACACAACCATTTTTTTTTAATAAGTATTATCCAACTGCCCTCCGAAAAAGTTGGGCCGATTTGTTCTTCCTCCAACAATTTAGGAGAGTTCTCTCCATGTGCTTATTACCAAACTTTGGTATTGTCACTTTCTACTCTTTGCTCACGACTACATTCAAAGCTGGGCGGTCTCCCCTGAAATGGGTGGCATGGGGTGGGGTGGGGTGGGGACAGGTGCGTCAGCCTCGCGCGTGTCTGGGAAGTGGAACAGGGAGGCGCACAGCGGAGGGCTGGCTGCCCGGCGGCCTTACCTTCTGGAGGTCGGTATGCAGCTGCTTCAGCATCACCTCCAGCTGGTACACCTTGCCTGTCAGGTCCAGGGGAGGCTCCTCGCTGGAAGGACAAGGGACAGGGTGAGACTCAAGGCCCCCCAGGCCCGGGGGAGGGTTCCAGACCCACAGCTGGGGAGGAACATGGGGGCTACGACCCTCTGGTCCCTCAAGTTCTGGGGAGCCCTGTTCTTGCTGGGGTCCTGAGGGGGGCCTGGAGGAGGGGCTCTGGGGGAAGGCTGAAGCCAGCCCTCCTCTCCGCTGTGCTCCACCCAGAGAGCGTCCATCTGTGGATGTGGATGGGGGCTGTGGATCTGTGGATGTGGGCGAGTCTTGTGGCTGCCTGTCGAAGGCTGTGTGCGTGCCCGCCCCGAAGTGTGCCCTCCCCCCAGGCACAGACCATGCGTGTACTTCAGGGAGAAATTCCTCCCGGGTGTGAGCACCTCACGTAGCACAATACAAGCCTGCCCCGCAGACATCCACTGAGCACCCAGCAGACCTGGGCCCTGCAACTGCAATGGGCAACGGAACAGGAGGGCCTGCTCTTGGGGACGATAATAGAGGACGCTGACAAAGATGATGACAGCGTCGCCCTTCCGGAGAGTGTACCCTGCGTCGGGCACAGTCTCAGCGTAACACAGCCCCCCGCCCAAAGTGGTCTGGGAGGTCACCATGTCCTTACCCTGTGGACAGAGCGGGGAGCCCAGCCTGTGGCTCCTCCTCTGTGTAGCCCCCAGCCCTGGCCTGCTGGGCCCCTGCAGAGGACAGTGGGCAGCCCCTTCCCTCCAGGGGGCTCCACGGGGCACAGTTGGGGGGGGGTGTCAGGGAGGGGGGCGGGCTGCAGCAGACCAGAAGGGAGAGGACTCGGCTGCCTGCCTTCCTGCCCCTTTCTTCCCCATCCCCAGTCCTGGATCCTGGGGACCCGCAGCTGCAGGGGAGGTGGCAGGCAGGTGGGAGAGGGTCACTAGTGCAGGGGTGAAGGGAATGCGGGGAGCTTGCCCCGAGGCCACGGTCCCGCCATTCCCACTCCCAGCCTGTTCCTCCCTCGCTGCCCCCCTCGCCGCAGCGGCACCATCTGCAGCCGCCTCGTTCCTGTGATTACAGTCGGGCCACATCTTTGGTGGAGGTTGAGTTCTAAAGCCAGTGAAAGAGGGGTGTGAAGAGGAGTCAAAAAAAAGAAGAGTCAGAAAAACCCAGAAGAGTCAAAATTTCTCTCGAAAATCCCTTCATTTGCCCATAAAGTACAGTGCACCACTGATGTACAGGTAAGACTGCACGCGAGCGTGAAGTGCACTACTGAAACCCACGGACAGGCGAACATGCCCTTTCCACTCGGTCTCCCTCTTTTTAATTGTATTTCCGGCCAAGTGAGTGCAGTCAGATATGTTGCACTACACATAAGAGGACAGATGTGAGATGTCTGTCTCCCTGTCCTCCTCTGTCCCCTCTGGGTCCACAGAGAGCCCAGCTCGGGCTGCCAGGGGAGAAGCGACCGTCTGCATAATTCAGGCACGTGCAAAGGGGACCCAAGAGCAGACAGAGGGGAGATGAAAGAGGGAGGAAGGGACCACGGTGCGGCGTGCAGTGGGGGGCACTCCTTAGAGCTTCACGACTTAGAAGTGAACTGACTGTACTGATTACAGCAGGTCTCCATCCATGGGGATGGGGCTAACCTGGACTCGGTCACCACTGGGTCCTGGTGTGTGGATTACCCCCCAGTCTGTGGCCCCTCTTTCACCGGGCAGGGGCCTGCGTTGTAGGGACCCAGGTTGCCGGCCTCCAGCTGTTTCCAGGGAAACCTCACCTCATGGTAGGGGTGGTCCTGGGGGTGGGGGGCCCCCTCTCCAGGCTCAGGTGGCTGTGGACAGGACTGTGTGCAGGTGGGACCTCCGGGCTCAGAGCTGGGTCGTTGAGAGAGAAAAGCGAGACGGCTCTTTGCACTGCTCGGGGGCGGGGGGGGGAGGGGGGGAGAGGGGTCAGCAGAGCTCCCCGTTCCTCTGCCCCCATGCACCCCCCCACTGCCCCCTGCCTAACCACCTTTCCCCCCCGCACACCTCCCAGCCAAACCACCCTGACATTCTCAGTCACTTGTGCTCGATCACACAGGCATTTAGGATGAGTTCCTACCCAAAAACCAAACCAAGTGACACACACACAAAAATCCCATCCTGATTCTGAGCAAGCTTCTAGACCCAATGGCTGGTTTAGACAAAATTCAAGGGATAGAAACAAGTTAAATGCCAGCGTGAGAGAGTAACCACCCAAATTTGGCATAAATGACCTGGTTTCACCAACAAGTAAATGGTATGAAAAAAACGACAAGTGGATAGGGTTGAAGCTGGGTGAGGAGTTCATGGGGATTCGTTTGCACTGTGCTTTTGAGAATGTCTGAAATTTCGAAAGCGAAAAGAGAAGCAAGACAGAGAGTACCATGCATATTGAAGAGAGAAAAGAAATCCCGTAGCTGTTAAAGCTCCGATTCTGGGGTCTCGCCCTGGACTTGCCCTGGGGACAGGGCCCGAGCACCTGCATTTTTAAATGGGGACCGGGAGGTGATCTTTCTGCAAGCCCTCGGCAAGCGGCTGGTTCAGTGAGCCCGGGGACAGCCGGACAATGGAGTATGTGGGCACAGAAAACCAGGAGCTGGGTCCCCCTGTATGCCCCTCGGGCAGAGGTACCACCAGCAGCTGGTGGTATAAGCTGGACACCTGGCAGAGGCAGGCCCCCGACTCCTGTTCTGACATTTTTTTTGAAGATTTTTAAAATTTATTTGAGAGAGACAGAGAGAGTGAGAAAGAAAGAGCACGAGTGAGGGAGGGGCAGAGGGAAAGGGAGAAGCACGCTCCCCGCCGAGTGTGGAGCCCAACCAGGGGCTGGATCCCAGGACCCTGGGATCATGACCTGAGCCGAAGGCAGACGCTCAAGTGACCGAGGCACCCAGGCACCCAGATGTTGATGTGTCTTGTTAACCAGCAATGGTGACCTTGCTCCCTTGGGTTAAGGTGCCGTCCTCCGGCTTTCTCCATGGTGAAGTTACTGTTGTTCCCTTCTAACAGTCACTTTGTTAGGAGTGAGATGCTGAGTCCAGCCCATTCCCAACAGCGAGGGGCATGAAGCCTCACCTCCAGGAGGGACAGTATGAAAGCACTTGGGGACTGCACAATCATCCATAAGTATTTTGGGGTAGATACTTCGAGGCTATGTAAACACGCTGCTTCTGCTTAAAGTCTCCCCACTAATTTTAGCAATCATCAATCACATCTGTGCTATTTTAATGATGACTTTCCATTTCCCTCATTCCTTCTGGATTAACTGGGATCCTTTTATAAGAGCTGTCCTAGCCACCGTCTGTTTATTCATTTACCTACTGATAGGAGTAGGGACTCATGGACATTTGTTCTATTCTTTGGGTTAGAATCCAATGCTGCTGTTATTTATTTTGCTGTTCAACTGCTCCAACTTCGGCCACTGGGAGCTCTTTGGGATGGCTCCCATGAACCCCTGACACGCTCCCTACCTTGCTAAAGCACTTCCTTACTTTCTAGCACCACAAGATGTGATCCCCTTTACTTCTTTTTTTTCCTGGAACATCTTGAAGTGAACCCCAGGTATCTTTGTAGTTCCCCTGCAGAAGCTTCCCTATGCCACAGCTATACCACGAATACACCTGCTGAAGTTAACAATTCCTTCATTCTTTTCCATTTGTTTGGATCACACAGGATAACGTCCATACATCGTCCCTGAAACAGACCAACCAAGCTCACAGCGAGCTGAAACCACCCTGACTCCGTTCCGCTGCCAGCCCCTCTCCCTGCTCCAGGGAGGTAACTGCCACTGTGGCCTTGGTGTGTTTCCTTCCAGGCCTTTCTGCTACACCGTCCCACATCACCCATTACCTATCCTTCTGTGTGGTTGCTGGGCTTCATTTATTAATTTCAAAGAGGAGGAGGAGAAAGCTCCCTGGGGGACTCTGATGCGCCACCAACCTGCTCCCCCAGCTCCTCCCAGAAGCCCACAGCTGGGGCCCGGTGTCTGGACAGCTCTGCCTTCCAAACACAGTACTACAGCTGCTGGCGGCATCTGGGTCTTCAGGGAGCGGCCTGGGGTCATCCAACTCTGTCTCTGCAGCTCTGAGAGGTGAAGAACTGCAGCTCAGTGAGTTACGACCCAAATTTGTCTCAATGAGGAGAGAGGCTGAGCGTGTACAAAAGTGTAAGAGCATCTGAGTTTCCTTTTCCACAAATGATCTGCTTCCTGTGACCCTCTTTCTGGAGGGTCGTTCGGGCCTGGGTTCGAATGCTGACCCCGTGTGCCCTTGGCCAGCTAGGAGACTCTGGCGGCCGAGCCTCAGTTTCCTCATTTGTAAACGGGAATCCTCACGCATCCCTGAGACCAGATTAGAAGTGATGTCTGTAAGGCGGTCAAGTGGTGGCTCCGTGGAGATGCTCTGTAATGTCACTGTGGCCATATCACCTCCTCCTCCAAGTGCCGCAGAGCAACCCTCTCCACCACTGTGTGTCAGGGCTCCAAAGGGTCAAGTTTACCTGCAGCACTGCTGATGGTTCCCGAGCGAGCGGAAGGCGGGGGTAGACCAGAGGCCTGGCCTGGCGTTCTCTGACCGCTCTCCCTCCCACCCTGGCCACGCCTGGAGGCCTGACCGTCTTTGCCCTGAGACCAGGAGAGGCTGCAGGGTAGGATGGAAGTGACCAACAGGAGCAGACAAGGAGGGAAGCTTTCTCCAGGCCACCTACCAGATGTGGACTGGCCCAAACATGGAAATAGGAAGGCCGTGTACCCTATGGGTCTGGTTTAAGGGATCCTGCTCTGAGCCAGACCCACGCCGGGCACCCAGCGGTGACAGAGATGGCCCCAGGTCTTGCCCTCCCAGGCCAGTGGGGAACACAGACCCATCACTGGGCAGCAGTGGCCCTCAGTGGGCAGGGCTGGGGGAGCCCAGGGCAGGTGCCTAATCCAGACTAGGGGATATCAGGGAGGGCTTCCTGAAGAAGGACAGCAAAGCTATCGTCTAAAAGATGAAAAAATGAGCCAGAAGAATATGTTCGTGTTGGTCAGGAATCACCACGGGTCCCAGTGTACAGATGAGGAACTGATGCTTAGAAAGATAAAGCTGCTTGCCCAAGGTCACACGGGAAGGAAATGGCAGAGTGCTAGCCGTTCCTCATTATCTGTTTTCCCTTTTTCCATAAGAACAAATCCCAAACGTTCATTGGGCATAGGGCCTCATTTCTCAGCCTGCCCTGGAGCTATGAGGTACGGCTGTGTGCAACGCTCTGGCCCACGGCAAGTAAGCGTAGGGGGAGTGTCAGGCTTGGGGATGTGTCCTCTTTCCTGCTGCTCGGAGCTGAACACGGTGGCCTGCGCTCTAGCAGCCATCTTGGACCGTGAGGGTAAGGCCCCGGGAAATGGCAGAGCAGAGGGTGCAAGGAGCCTGCACCCTAATGCATTTGTGGAACTGCTGCCCAGCCCTAGATCCCCCCACCCCAGGAATTTGCAGCTGCATAAAACAGGTTTAAGTCATTGTTAATTTGGGTTTTCTGCCGCTTGCAGCCAAAGCAAATCTAAATACAGTTTGGATGATTACAAGTTTGTCCTGTGATGTGATACAAGGTTCCGTCTGTTGAGGGCTTGTTCTGTGCCTAACGGGTTTTATACATGGTGGCGTTTCATGTAATCCTCACTGCAGCCCCAGGCACGTTCCTGTTCTGCAGATCAGATAAGCAAATACATTTGCCCAGGACTGCACAGTGAGCAAGAGTCAGGGCAGGATGTGAACCCTGCTCCCCCTAATTCCAGATCCTGCGTGTGCCCCACTTCAGAGCCCCAAGGCCCTCCATTGATCCTTCTAGGACAGAGCAGCAAGGGAGGGATCGGGCCAGGTTGGGTGGAAAGTGCCTACCTTCGTAGGCCTTGGCTGCATTCACGAGGCTGGACCACTCAAGGCCAGCAGCCGTGTCAGGCAGGGGCATCATCCCGGGGTCAAGGCGTCGCAGTGGCCGGTCCCGCCCGTCGGCCAGTGAGAGCTCCGAGGCAGAGATGGTGGCTGGGTAGGAAGAGCGGAGAGGGGAGATGGAGGGAGGGTGACAACGTGAAGGAGACAAAGACGTTCATCCATTCTGTTTTACTTTCTGGGTAGCTCTACAATGCTATATAATCGTTACACTAGCACATATGATTAAGTAAATACGTTACCATCACCAGAAGATGCCAAATGCCAGCAGGTAAGGGGGTGGCAGTGTCAGGTGTTTATGTGGGTGGGCACGGGGTGAGAGGGACAGAGCAGTGGGACGCACAGTCACAGGTGACACTGTGTGGGGCCTCGGAGGTCAGGAGGACTCTGTCTTTTACTGCGAGTGGGATGGCGCCAAAGCCCCCCCCTCGCGGGGTGCGGAGGCCGGGCTGCGTGGGGGTGGGGAGCAGGGAGGCGGTGAGGAGGCTGCCGGGGAGAGTGGACCAGCCTGGGTGAGGCTGGGGCGGGGTGGGGGTGCGGGACGGGAACAAGTAGCAGGTCCGGGAATGATTTTGTACGTGCAACCAAAAGTACCTCCAGAAGAGGGGAGGTGAGCGTGGGCCAGAGAGAAGGATGCAGGGTGACCCTGCTCGACGCCCAGCCCCGCCAGGCTTTGGGGTTTAGAAGGTCCCTGTTAATACTCTGTCCTAACCCTGCTCGACAGTCCTGAGGTGCAAGCCTGACTCACGGTGGGATTAAAATGCTTGCTCTGGACGGAAGAATACCAACAAAATAATAAATAGCTAGTGCTTTTCAGTGCTTCCTGCAAAGATCAGGGATTGTGCTAAGTGCCTTCCACGTATTGACGTGTCTGAGTCTCAGTGTAATGTGGTGAGGGGTAGGTTCGCCTTGAGCTGAGCCGGGAATGGAGTGGGAGCAGGCTCTGGGGAGACTCCATCTCAATGATACGAGACACAGGCCTCAGCCAAAAATCCCTGGGGTAGACACATCTCTGAAGTCAAGACCTGTCTGCATTGGAGGGTGCTGCGTAGCTGCTATTACACACCGGCCCCCGGAAAGGCTGGGCAGCAGCCCGTAGTCACGCCAGCGATCTGCAATGAAGTCACGATCGCTTGCACCACATGGAGTAGAGAAGGACAATAAACTAACAGCCCCATGGCCGTCTGGGTTGGGTTTTGCTGCTCAATGAGCCTAGCCCAAACTTCTGCGTCGCCTCTCAGTTTTGGGAGCCTTTGGTGTTGTGAATAAGGGACTGGAGGGTGTACTGAAGGCAGGACCCACCTCAGCTGGTGCACGGGCTTTGATGGGGGCCGTGTGCACTGTGCCCCCTTTGTGGGGGATGCTGGGTAAATAGTTGCTGGGTGAATAAAAGGATGGATGAGTCACACCCTTACACCTCCTCCCTCCAAGAGTTGGCAGACTTGGGGGGAATCAGGTAAGTAAATAAACATTCACGAAACCATCTGCTTGGTGCTGGAGCAGGGAGCTGGGGGAGCAGCTAAAGGAAAACCCGATCCTCAGGGCCCTCCCGTCTGCAGCCTTCTCTAAGTGACACCCTGTCTCTAGCCTCAGATGACTCCAATCTTTGGGCAGTCTAGACTTCTAGCTAGGTGACCCCCAGGAGACCCCCTGATTCTCAGCTAACCATCCCCTGCTCTTGTGGGTGACACCGTCAGTACCCACCAGAAGCTCCGATGCACCCCAGCTCCCCACCTCGGCGGACACCACCACTGGTGACCTCCAGTGTGGTCTGTCTGCCTGCTTCCCAACCCTGGTGAAGCCCCCCTGCTGGCCCCAGCGCGCCCGCACTCACATTTCTTCTCTGGGAAGCCGCTGCCCGTGGCAGGGCCAGTGCTGGGGCTGCCACTGCCGGGCGGGTGGGGGTGCTGGTGCTGGCGGCGGGAGGGCAGAGTGCTGGAGGGGAAGGCGCAGGTGCTGGTGAAGAGCACGTCGCTGGGCAGGCCCGGCTCCAGGCTGGCAGGGTTGGCCAAGCTGGGCTCCCGCCGCCCACTGCACAGACTCTCATCGGACAGTGTCCGTTGCAGGCTCTTCTGCGGTGACTGTTGGGAGAGACACGGAGGGTCACGTGGCGCGGTCATGGCCTGGCTCCCGGTCACCGGCCTCACAGGCGTCTTCCTGTCCTGGACAGCTGTGCGTCTTACCCACCCAGCATCTGTTTCTGCCCCTTTCTGCTCAAAGCACCTCAAATTTCCCCTGGGGATGCCTCTTCCCCTCCTCCCTCCCCACCTGGTTCTGGCCCTCCAGAGGCCATCGCCACCCTCCTGCTCCAGGTAAGGTTAGGGAAGGCAGTGTGACCGAAGCTGGACTTACGGGAGCCAGTCACTGGTGGGGACCACTGGGGACAGCTCGGTCCCACAAGAGTGCGAATAACCAGAAGTAGGTGGGGCCAAGAATGGAGAGAAGCAGACAGTGTCGAGGGACTAAGGGAGCCTGATGGTTCCCTGCCTTTGGGTAACAAGAGCCTGAATTTCCCCTGGGAACCCCGCCCCCACTCTCGGTCCACGCAGTTTGGGTGGGTGGAGGCTGCTTCCACCCTGGGCTCCAGGAGAGGGACACGGGAGCCATTCAGAGTATTCCTTTCCAGTCACGTGAGCTACCCTAGTGCGGAAGGAATCCCCTACGTGCCTGCCGAGGCTGGCTTATACTGTGATTTGGCCCCTGACTAATGTGACGACCTGACTTCTGGCTATGAAGTCACATACACCTGCATACAGATGGGGCTGGCCGGTGCTGCAGATGGAGGCCACGGGCAGAAGGAGGCCAGAGTGACCACAGGGAGCTCTGCACTCCTCCCTCGCCCTCCCACGACCGCCTGGCCCGCCTGATTCTGTGTGTGTGCGTATGTGTGTGGTGGGGGGCGGCTTCTACATACCCCCACATCTCTCTCCTGCTCAGGCGCCAGGTTGTCCATGATGATGAGTTTCTTCAGGTCGTCCTCAATGGTGGATTTGTAGTTCTTCCGTGGGGAGCGGAGGTCTCGGAGGGATGCCCTCAACCGTGGCTGCCCGAAGACGTTTTTTGTATTAGTGTCCACCTGCCTGGAATGACAGGATGAGGGTCAGAGTGGCCTTGTGGAGGCTCACGCTGCTTCTCAAAGCAGTCCTGACCCAAGAAGGCTGGCTGCCTTCCGGGGAAGGGACTGCGGCCTTCTCCCCTTCACCTGCTGGAGGTGAGCTGGAAGAGGGATCAAATTTATTCTCTCCATTCATTCATCTCACAAGATTTCCTGGGAACCTGCCCTGGGCTGTGCCTGTTCCAGGCGGGGGACACAGAACAGCGAACATGCAAGCTGACCTCCAGTCACGGAGACACATAATTAACAAGTAACTATACAACAGGCGTCCAAGGTCACACAGGCTGTGCGAGTGGAGGAGTCAGGATTCCAGCCGAGGCCACTAGGCCGCAGAGCCCACAAGTTTCACCTCCGAACTTGACTGCCATGTTTATATCACAGACACAGCATAAAAATGATGTACGGGGGGGGTGGGGTGCCTGGGTGGCTGAGTCAGTTAAGTGTCCCACTCCTGGCTTCGGCTCAGGTCATGATCTCAGGGTCGGGAGATCGAACCCCGCATCGGGCTCCACACTCAGCGCGGAATCAAGCTTGAGATTCTCTCTCTCCCTCTGCTTCTACCCCCACCCCCCAAATAAATAATAAATAAATAAAATCTTAAAACAAAAAGATGTATAGTGTGTGGGGAGCATAACTGCATTTGGTTTAGTCATACTCTTTTAAGTGCAGAGAAAAAGTTCTGGGGAAATTATGAACAATGGGTACATGACCCCCTGGGAGGTCAGGAGTCTTTTTAGGAGTTGGAAAAATGGGACTGTCACCTTTCATCTGACACCCTTCCGAACTGTCTCAATTTATTTTACCATAATCACATGCCAGAACAATAATGATGATTTAAAAAACTAGTTTAAAAAAAAGGTGACACCTGGAATTTATCATTTTGTTAACTCAAGAAAGAAAAAGTCTTTGGACCCAGGAAGAAAGACGATGTCTAGGGCTCCTGAGTGTTTTGAAGTTTGCATTTTTTCTCATTTTCTCAGCTGCCACCTTGGGGTTTTAACAAAAGAAGGAAGAGAGGGTGGCGAGTTTTTCCCTGTCAGGTCGTTTTCCTCCCCAAATTAGAATTCCAGGTCTAGGGTAATTCTGGCTCCATTACAGTGTTCTCTGAAGTGTGTTCTCTGGCAAGTGAAAAGCTTTAGAGCCAAAAGAGAGAAATACACAGCGAAATAGAGGAAGAGCATACACCCCAATGAGTACACGGTTCCTCCAAGGGGGCTCAGCCCTCTCCCTTCCAAAGGGATTTCACAGTTTTCCACAATTCCCGGCAAGGGGGTGGGGGGTGGGGGTGGAGCCTGTGACTCAGTGCAGGCCATGTCCCGTGCTGTGCCCACCTTCCCTGAAGAGGGAGCAGGTCGGGACTTCAGCCCGTCTATGGCAAGAAAGGGACACTGTTTATGAGGCTGGTCCTCTGGGAGGGGCACAAAGCCACCTGAGGACACTTTCAAACATGCATGCTCTTGGCCCTAGGGACTCTATCTACTTCTGGGCGTGTGTCCTTCGGAAAGGCCTGTGTGACCTACGTGTGCCAAGCATATGGGGACGCTTAATGGGGTCCTGTCCGTGAAGCAAACAGAATTGGCCAGCAGGGGAAGAGCGAGGCCCCACGGAATCATGCCACCTAGCTATTAAAGAGAAGTGGAGCTGGTTCACCTAACACAGAAAGAGGTTGTCCCCGATATGTCACAGGAATAAAGAAGTGGTATGTATAGTGTGAAATCATTTTTAGAAAACAAAGCTTACACATAGCCTAGTTTGATGTATTAAAATTTACCAAACTCTCAGCTCCAAAGGATGGGTACATTGGGGGATTCGCTTTCCAAAAATGTGCCTCACCACAGCCTGTGAAATCCTTGACAATCTGCCCCGCCCTGCCTCTGCCCTCCTCTCCTCCCACACAGGCCTCCCAATGTTCCTTTAGCATGCCAGGCACGGTCCTGCCCCAGGGCCTTTGCACTGGCTGTTCTGGCGGCCTGGAGCTGCCCTCCCCAGCATTCCCCATGAACAGCAGCTTCTCATCTATCCAGCTTATCTCAAATGTTGCCTCCTCTGGGAGGCCTCGCCTGACCACTCAAGCTTCTGGTGTCCCCTCCCAGCCCGGGCGTGCTCCATCATGCAATCCTGTGCACTGCTTCACTGTGCTCATCTCCTGGCAGTCTGTCACAGGCGCTTGTGTGTTTGTGGTCCCATTCTCACCTCATCTGCAGCCTTCTGTTCTGTGTTGGGAACAACGCCTGCCACATTGCAAGCACTCAGAAGTAGCTGTTCAATGCGAATCACATGGAGCCAACCTTCGTTCTAACCAACCAACCAACCCACCAACCCACTTCCCTACCTACCTCCTTCCTTTCAACCTTCCTCTCTTCCTTTTTTAAAAAAATTTAAGTAATCTCTACACCCAATGTGGGACTCGAACTCACGACCCTGATGATCAAGAGTCGCAGGCTCCTCTGAGCCAGCCAGGCGCCACTCTTCCTTCCTTTTCTAAGAAGCGTCAATGACTTTTATAAAAGAGGAAAAAGTACAAAGATATTTTAAAAAATTAAGCCAAAAGAACACAAGTATTTCTTCCCTGCTCTGTTTAATTTTGTGTTCATGTGCTAACATTGCCTTCCCAGCTCCCAGGACCTCTGGGAGTCTAACGGGACATTCGTGATTCCGCGGTGGGAGGCTGGCTCGCCAAGAGACATCCTGCTACAGGGTCCTGCCCCAACCCCCAAGCCTGCACACATCTCCGCGGCAGGCCTCTCTCACTGCGCCGCTGGGATGCGTCTAAAGGGAAAGAGTACGATGGAATTCAGTTTGGGGCGTCAAACCAATCATTTTTGCTCTTATTCTTTTTCTTCTGTAAGAATTTCCCGATGTAGTTTCTAAATGGCAAATTCTAAGCAATCATTCAAAAGGGCATTAACTCCAGGTTAACAAAACCAACCAGACTGGGCTTGTACATTCCGACCTGTTTCCTTTTTCTCAAGATCTCGGGTCCCCATGATTGTGAAAACCTGATGACCCTGAGGACAAAAGAGACTGCTCTCTGCCGGTTCAAAAGGATGAGATCACCTTCTCTGTGCTAATATGGTAACTGTCCCCGAGATACGAAGAGGAAAGAGCAAGTGAAAAAGGCAGACGTGCAGAGACGGGGAGCCACACTGGCCAACGCAAGGGGGTGTGAGGGAGGAAGCACATGGGGTCCCACGGGCTCGTCACGGTTGGAACACTTCGGGATGGACGCAGAAGAAACGAAGGCCATAATTGTGCCTGGGGAGGGGGGTGCTGGATGGCTGGGGGCCGGGGAAGGGACAGAGGCTGGGTTTGTGCCACGAACCCCCTGGTACTAGTTCGGTTTTTATCCTGGCCACCGTTTACCTCTCACGAGACAAATGAAGAGAACACCCGGAAGGATGTGCCTTCCCTCCGGGGTCTGCCCGACAGCACCAGACATCATCTCTGATTTGCCTGCGTTGCCTGAACTTGGACTTGGCCATGTTGTGGAATGACACCACTTACAGTAGAAAACAAGGGCAGACAACTTACAAAGGCAGCTCTGCAGTCTGGTCCCAGACAACAACGACTCCTTCCTCCTGTGACAGCAGGGCCTGAGGTGGACGGTGACCGATGGCTCTGACTTGGCTGGGCCTGTCCCCAGCTGACTCCGGGCTCTGGCCTCCAAATGGGGCAGCTCCCTCAGGGCCAAGTTAATTATGCCAATTAGCACCACTGTCGGCCTGTCTGGGCCGGGGGCTGTGCCAACGTGGCTGGTGAGGACACACAGCAGGGCTGCACCTCAGGTGGCAGGCGGATATTCCTAGAAGGATGGCTGGGAGAGAGGCCCGTTGGGGAGGGGGGCTGCCCTGTTACGGGGTAGGGATGTTGGGGAGACGCCTCTCCCCCCTGCTCCTTCCATGGCTGCACGGGGCTGGACCTAAATCCGAGGAAGGAGCTGGAATGGCAGGTACCAACCATGAGACACCAGTGCCTGTCAGCCCAGCCGACAGTGACCGGGTGTTTCCCTACAACTCGCTGAAATCCTCACGACACCTCTGGGACACAGGTACTCCCATCTTCCCCTTTTGAGGCTGGGGAAACTGAGGCACAGTGAGTTGTGAACACTCAGAATCCACACATACCCACATGTGAACACTCAGAATCCACATGCTCTGAGTCACCTCAAGATTCACCCCTAACGAAAGTGGTGCTGATGTGCACGGTTCATGGTAGCAGGGGCTCCCGGTGCCGTGGGCCCTCACCCCAGGGGCTGGTGAGTCTCGTGTGTAGCCACAGTTTCCTCATGGTAGCTGCTGGAGGCAGGTTCTACCGTCGCCCCACAGGTGAGGGCTAGCGAGGCCGAGAGGTTCTGACACAGAGTGCTGGCAGAGCCGGGACGCGAACCCCGGTGTGACCCAGGGACCGCTCTGCACTGCAGGTGTCGGAACGGCAGCCACAAAGCTCACGTCCCGAGTGCTCAAGTGCTCCCGGGCCCTGGTGGCCTTCACACACGGGATCTTGCTTCACCCCCTCAGTGGCGCTGCAGGAGGATGCTTGGGGGGCCTGGGTCCTCAGGTGTGACCCGGGGGCTGGCCCTCCCATCCGTCACTCCACACTTAAAGGCAACAGAGACCATTCCTGGAGGAGGGTCTGCCTCCTCCTTGCTGGGCCCAGAGTCTGCGGGGCCAGGGGCCAATGGGGCCTAAGCATGTGTATCTCACAACAACCCTACGTGGTGTGGCTGACTTGTTTAACGCTCAGAGAGAAGTGCAGGGCCATTATCTGGAAGAGCAGTGGCCTGTTCTTGGCTATGCCTACCTTGTGAAGGAGGTTTCTCAGGCCCAGTGACCACTAGCCCATAGGGGCATCTCCAGCCCTGCAGTCTGGGCAAGACTGGCCCATTGAGGAGGCGGTGCCCAGGAGGGCTGAGGGCTGCCTGCTCTACCTCCCAACCGGCCAGGCTCCAGCCCGGCCCCTCCTGGCAGAAGGGAAACCTGTGGGCCCAGTCACACCCTCACCTGCTAAGCCCCTGGCAGCTCGAAGGTGGTGCTGGGGCCTCGAATGGATTAACTCACTAAATCCTCACAACCCTGGAGCTAGGGATGGCTGTCATCCCAGGTTAAAGAGAGGGAAGTTGAGGGGCTAAGGTGGGGGTAAGCAGCCAATGGATTTCCATCCTGACCCCCACGCTGTTCTGCTCTCTAATAGCTGGGAGAAGGCAGGCCAATGAATTAATGAGTCCTGGGACAAAGTGGCCAAAATGGGGCTATCTGGCCATCCCCTGAGGCAGAGGTGCTGGCCTGTCCCTCCCCAGGTGTTGACTAGGGGCCTCTAGCAGAAGGGCTGGGGGTGGGAGACAGAGCACAGATTCTCTGTTCTTCACTAGCTTACTCTGTCGTTTGGTCAACTAGAGCATGTGCCCCAATAAAGAGGAGACTGTCCCCTCCGAGAAATCAGTCCTCAGGAAATAGGAGTCACTGCCCTGGACAGGAGTCCTCCTTGGGTCTTTCATGTGGTGAGACGCTCTGTTAGCTACCTTGCTGGATACGAATCCTAGCTCTGCCACTTTTGGCTGTGGACCTGGCTATGTACTTCTAACTGTGCCTCAGTTTCCTCATCTGGAAATGGGGGTAAGAACAGGATCCCTCTAGTGGGGTTGTTGGAGGATCACTGGGGCCAGTCTGTACAGCCCCAGCCAAGCAGTCTGGCTGAAAGGGAGCACCCCAGTGCTGGATGAGGCCATTAGCATTTCTCTGTGGGATCTGTTAGATGTCCCTGACTGATATCAATGACAAGGGAAGCAAAGAAAGTAGACAGATTTGGGAATTACTCCTGGTGGGGGTGGGGAATAAGGTCATAATATGTGGTGACCCTGGGGGACAAATCACAAAACCAACAAGCATAGTATTTGCAGTGATTAACCTTAACTAACCAAGTGAATCTGGGTAAGTGACGTAACCATTCTGTACCTCAATTTTTTATTTGACAGAGAGAGGGACACACAGCGAGAGATGGAACACAAGCAGGGGGAATGGGAGAGGGAGAAGCAGGCTTCCTGCTGAGCAGGGAGCATGACACGGGGCTCGATCCCAGGACCCCAAGATCATGACCTGAGCGGAAGGCAGACACTTAACCGACTGAGCCACCCAGGCGCCCCTGTACCTCAATTTTTCTTATCTGGAAAATGGGCGGCAAAGTACTTGCATCTCCTTGTTCTATAGTGAGGATTAAATGAGTCAGTGTAGGTGAAGGGCTTATGACAGGACTTGGTAAAGTAGGTATTAATATACGTAGGTAAATAAGTTATGCAAATGAGCTCCTGTGCCTTGGGATAAAATTTTAGTGACAGCTTCATATAGGGAAAAAAAAAGTATGTTTAACCTCAAATAATTTAGCTTGAAGATGATGTTTTTGGAAAACTAGGTTAGGTGACTCAGAAGGATCTTTTAACAATGAAAAAGACACTATCTCCAAAATGCTCATAGAGAGTCTGAATAAAACAGCTTTATGAAATGGGAGTATGTGGACAAAAGCAATTCTAAATTAACATATTATCTTCCACATGTGCTTTAAAAAATGTATCTATATGGTGCGCCTGGCTGGCTCAGTCAGTGGAGCGTGGGATTCTTGATCTTGAGGCTATGAGTTTGAGCCCCATGTCGGGAGCAGAGATTACTTAAAAATACAATCTTTAAAAAAATGTATCTATAACTAAATTATTGAATATTATAAGAAGCCATGAAACTATTTTATGTGTGGTCCTAAATATTTTATTATATTTATGTATTGATATATTTTATATATTTAGTTTACATGTTTATACAAAGATACTCATCCTGGAGCGCCTTGATGGCTCAGGCAGTTAAACGGCTGCCTTTGGCTGAGGTCATGTTCCTGGGGTCCTGGGATTGAGCCCTGTGTGTGCGTGTGTGTGTGTGTGTGTGTCCTCGGATTGAGCGTGTGTGTGTTCCCTGCTCAGCGGAGAGTCTGCTTCTCCCCCTGCCCCTCCCCCTGCTCATGCTCTCTCTCTCAAATAAAATCTTTAAAACAAACATACATACACATCTATAAAAAGTCTTGTTTGAATTCTTATCATGGGGAAAAGGGGTTTTTTGTTTGTTTAGGGTTATTATATGTCCAGGCATATTTTCTGAGCACGTACTATGTACTGGGCCCTGGGTGGGGCTCACAGTATCTCTGCTCCCCCAGAATTCCCAGTTCACTGTGAGGGACAGAGAGGAGGCAAGCTGCTAGGAAAAGGGTCTGATGTGCCCTGGGACAGGTGCCGGGGCAGGGAAGAAGCATGTGGTCAGTGGAAGGTGAGCCGGGTGTGGGCTTGAATGAGCTTCCCCAAGGACGATGGCATGTCTGTGTTAAGACCTGAGAGGTGGTGTTATGGGTCCCTTCCAAAAATATGTTGAAGTATGAACCCCAAGTATCTGAGTGTGACCTTATTTGGAAATAGGGTCTTTACAGAGGTAACCAAAGCAAACTGAGGCCATTAGGATGGACCCGAATCCACTGACTGGTGTCCTTATAAAAACGGGAGATGTCAACACAGAGACACACATGTAGGGAGGATGCCATGTGAAGATGAAGACAGAGAATGGGGAGATACATCTACAGGCCAAGGAATCACCAGCTGCTGGGAGAGCGGCCAGAACAGACCCCCCTTCACAGCCCTCAAAAGGAACCAACTCCGCCAACACCATGATCTCGGACGTCTGACCTCCAAAACTGTGACACACCGGGTCTAGCACGCACCTGGGGGAAGGACAGCCAGGTCAGCTGCCATGTAGGAGAGCCTAATGGAGCCCGCAGGGCCTGCCCCTCTGGCCACCCTAAAAAGTGGGGGCCTTGCAGGATCTCACGGGGTTCTATCAAGGCAGTGGGATCAAAATGAGATGCGTGGCTCATGCGTTCAACGAAGGAGCACCCAGAACGCCAGGCAGCCTGCAGGTGTCTTGTGACCAAGACAGCAGAGCCTGCTTTCTGCTTTCAGGGGAACAGAGAAAAGGGACAGGGTGACGGTGGGGGTACATACAGCTGGGAAGGCCCATCTGAGGAGGTGGCATCGGACCAAGCTCCCCCTCCGAGATGGCTGCAAGATCCGGGGGAAGAACACTCCAGGCATTAGAGAACCCCTACATCGGCCCCGAGCCTGGCCTGGCCTTGGCGAGCAGGAGGACCAGTGGAGGCCGGTGGAGTAGAGAGCGAGGGGAAGTGCGGGAGGAGGGGAGGGCAGGGGGAGAGGAGGCCGATCTCGCAGGGTCTGGGCAGGTGTGTGGGCATAGCACACACCACACGAACACCTGGTACCATCGGTGTGCTTGGATCATCCATCCCCGAAGTGGGGGAAGCCACTGGAGGTTCCGATCAGGAGAGCAGAGGCTCAGAGCCCGGGGCTGCCAGTGATGTCTGTGAACTGGATTCTTGGTGCAAGCTCCCCAGGCTCTCCTGCCGACATCTGCAAGGACCCGTTTCTCTCTCCTGACACCTTTCTCCTTCTGAGCTCTGTGTCACCCCTACATTTGAAGGGCCCATCCAGGTCATGAAAGACGTTACAGAGAACTGGATGGAGGAGGGCAGAATCCCCCCTCCCCCGGAACCAGCTCTATCCCTTACTGGCTGTTGTGCCTTATCTGTAAAATGGGGTGAATAACAGGTCTACCTCACGGACCTGCTGTGAGGATTCGGGGAATTAATTCACATCTACAGGAGCTGAGAACCGAGACTGGTATACAGTGAGTACTCAGTAAATACGAGATACCATATTCTCCTAACTTGAAACAGAAATCCTTCCCTAATGCATATTCCTCTCCTCTCTTTTGCCTCACAGCAAAATGCCTCAAACGAGCGGAGCACACAGTTTCCCTCCAATTCTGCCCTCTCCTTCTCTTCTGCACCCTTGAGGGACCTCCATGAGGCTCCCAGCCCATCACGCTTGGGTTCCCGGGATGCACGCTCACCTGGGCCCCTCCTTATACTCTCTGGACACTGAGGGCTCTCTGGCCCCGTCCTGCACGTCCCCCTCCTCTCTACCCACACTCCTGGCCTTGGGTGTGCCTCCAGCCTTGTGCCTCTGTGCTGACAACACCCCAACTGCCCTCTCTAGCTGACCTCTCCCCTCAGCTCCAGACTCTGGACCTGACCGCCTCCTTCATGGCGTCTGTGCCTCGTGAACGCAACCCACCCGGGACTGAGCTCGGGGGCTCTTCCCCAACCAGGCCTGCTCCTCACTCAGTCCCCATCTCAGCTCAAGGCCAGCCTGCCCTTCCGGTTACGGGACCTGGGGTGTTCTTCAACCTTGCCCTTCCGCGCAGCCCACATTCGGTCTGCCAGCCAACCCCCGCTGCTCCCGTTTAAGCATATCCATCCTCAGGGCATCCCCCCACCTCCTCGGCCTCCATGCTGCTCCGCCTCCCCCAAACCCCATCTCCAGCACAGCAGCTCCTTGGAGGCCATGCCCCTCAGGCCGCCAAGGGACGCTCTGAACCCCCAACTAAGGGTGTTCTGTCCACAGCTGTACCCAAGGCACCGTGCCGAATGAGCCAGTGAGGGGTCACCACCCCCCGCTCCCCGCGCCCAGAGACGCCTGGCTGGGCTCCCGCAGCACCTTGCTGGGGGTCTGAGCACTTACTTCTTTGGGTCAGTGAAGGGGAGCGGCCGTGGCGGGGGCTCGTCTGTCGTCTTCCACCCCCCGGGGTGCTTACTGTGTGCAGGCTGCTTGGAGAAGAAGGACTTGGGGACAGAGGCGGAGAGCTGGAAGGGGCTGGACTGCGCCAGCTGTGAGGGTCGAGGAGTCTCTGTGCTGGCAGTTTTGTAAACCTGAGCAGGGTAGCCAACCCGCGAGCTCATGTCACTGCAGAGTAAAACAAGAGAAATAAACAGTTGAATCCATTCCCCGTTTCTCCAAAATGATCCATTTAAATTTACTCTTGGGAAACAACAAAGTTCCTTCACACAAGAGAGATACAAATACACGGCCCCCAGTCCCACCCCAGGAATGCCCTCTTTGCCTCTGTGCGAATCTACACGAGTCACCACCTGTGGGTGGATGCACCCCGAGATTCCCTATCTCCTGGGCACAGCCTACGTAGCTGAAGGTGGGGGTCCTACCTGCCCGTCTCTAGAGAGAGCCATGGTTTACAATTTGCTCGCTCTCTCGCTCGCTTACACTTTTCCCTCTCCCTCTCTTTCTGTCTCCTTTCTCCTATGCATTACAAATATACACCTGCATACGATCAGGGAGGTAGGAACTTTTTTGGCGGGGGGAGGAGGAGAATTGTATGTTTATATAACTGGGATCACATTAATATATTGTTCTGTAAGTTTTTCTTTTTTTTCCTTAAAATATAGCTTGCCAAGGAGCCCTTTCATTCAAATACTTTTCTGGAGTACCTGCTATACATCAGACAACGTTCCTGCTGATCTAATCTAAAACCACAGCTCATTATCCCAAATGCTTGATTCCCATGGAATTCGTGCTACGATGAACCTCATGCTGCTAACCAGAACCCAACGGTTGGGGACCCAGCTGTTTACTCCCCTAGACAAAGTGACTTTTTGAAACTTTTAAATGAAATTCCAATTCCACTTCAAGTGAGAGGCATTTAATGAGAAAATTGATGCCTTTGGGGTTTAAGTCAATAAATGCTTTTTGACGGTCAATTTAACAATATGAAGGGGTGGGACTTTTGACTATGATCAAATGAGGAGACCGGCAGATCCTCTCCCCTGAAGCACAAGATTGACAAAACAACCATTTCGGCACTCTGGCAATTGACCAAGGGCATACGACAATCTGAGAGTCATCTATGCTTGAAAAGCCGCTGCACATCAGATGAGAAAAGAGGGAATCTGTGGCATTTTGGCTGGGGCTCCTGCCATCCTCCTGCCCAGCTCGATGCCTAAGGACTTTCTGCTGTACCAAAATCTTTGGGACAGCATCAAGCATACAGACATGTGTACACCGAGAGTTTTGGAAGAAGAGGAGAGAAAAGGGCAGAAGAACGATTTAAAGAAACAATGGCTGAAAACTCCCCACATTTGGTGACAAAAATTTACCTACACAGCTAAGAAGCTCCCCAAGCCCTAAGCATGGTAAATACAAAGACATTCCTATCCAGAAAAACAGCTCAAAGTCCAACAGTGAGATAAAAACCTTGAGAACCTCAAGAGAAAAAGGATTCGTCACATACAGAGAAGCATCAATATAATTAACTGCTGACTTCGTATTCGAAACAATGGTATGGAATATTTGCAAAGTACAGAAAGAAACAAACCACCAGCCAAGAATTCTGTATCCAGCAAAACTATATCCTTCACATATGAAGGTAAAATAAAAATATTCCCTGATAAACAGACGGAGAAATTGATTGCCTGCTCATCTGCCTGGTAAATTAATAAAAATAAGTAGTCCTCAGGCTGAAAGACAATGACTCCAGGGGCACTGGGCTGGCTCAGTCCATGGAGAGTGCAATGCTTGATCTCAGGTTGCAGGTTCAAGCCCCACACTGGGTGTAGAGATTACTTAAAAATAAAATCTTTTTAATTTTTTCTTAAATTTTATTTTTTTAAAGGATTTTATTTATTTCACAGAGAGAGACACAGTGAGAGAGGGAACACAAGCTGGGGGAGTGGGAGAGGGAGAAGCAGGCCTCCCGCCGAGCAGGGAGCCCGATGTGGGGCTCATGACCTGAGCCGAAGGCAGACGCTTAACGACTGAGCCACCCGGGCGCCACCAAAATAAAATCTTTTCTAAAAAAGATTTTATTTATTTACTTGAGAGACAGAGCATGCTGAAGGGGGGAGGGGAGGAGAGGCAGTGGGAGAGGGAGAAGCAGACTCCCAGATGAGCAGGGAGCCAGGACCCTGGGATCATGACCTGAGCTGAAGGCAGCCGCTTAACCAACTGAGACACCCAGGCGCCCCTAAAAATAAAATCTTAAAAAAAGAAGAAAGAAGAAAATGACTCCAGATGGTGACCTGAATCCATATGGAGAAATGAAAGGTCCAAGATGGTAAATTTGTGGGTTAGAATAAGACTATAGATTTATGTTTTCTTATGTCTTCTCTAATTTCCTTAAAGACATAAGATTGTAAAAGGCACTAAGAACAGCACTATATTGTTCGGCTTATAAACATATATGAATGTAATAAAATGACAAAAAATAGCACAAAGGATGGGGAAGGGAATGTGGCTATACTAAGTTTTTTTCTTTAAAATTAAAAAAAAAAAAAAATTCTTTTTGAGAAGTGGGGGAGGGGGCAGAGGGAGACAGAGAAACCCAAGCAGGCTCCACGCTCAGCAGGGAGCCCAAAGCAGGGCCTGATCTCATGATCCTGAGCTGGAATCAAGAGTTGGATGCTTAACCAACTGAGGTCCCCAGGCGCCTCTGGAGAAAAGTTTCTATATTTTATTGGAATTAGGTTACTAGATCTAAATTACACTGTTAAGATGCATATTATAATAACTAAAAAAAAATATGGTCAAAAAATCAAGAGAAATCCAAACAGTACACTAAATTTATTTAACACAAAAGGTGGCAGTAAAGGAAGAACAGAGCAGGGCCCTGGGTGGCTCAGTTGGTTAAGCGTCTGATTCTTGATTTTGGCTCAGGTCATGATCTCAGGGTCATGAGACTGAGCCCTGTGTCATGCTCAGCGTGGAATCTGCTTGAGATTCTCTCTCTCCCTTTGCCCCTCCCCCTGCTCTCACTTTCTCTCTCAAATCTTTTTTTTTTTTTAAAGATTTTATTTATTTATTTATTTGAGAGAGAGAGAATGAGAGATAGAGAGCATGAGAGGGAAGAGGGTCAGAGGGTCAGAGGAGAAGCAGACTCCCCGCTGAGCAGGGAGCCCGACGTGGGACTCGATCCCGGGACTCCAGGATCATGACCTGAGCCAAAGGCAGTCGCTTAACCAACTGAACCACCCAGGCGCCCTCAAATAAAATCTTAAAAAAAAAAAAAAAAAAAAAAGGAAGAACACAGCAAGAAGTAACCATATGGAAAACAGTAAAATGGGGAATGTAAATTCAATTGTTATCAACGATTTCTCTAAATGTGAATGTTTCAACACCCGGATGTGAAAGACAGAAGATTGTCAGACTGGATTAAAAGAAGCAAGCTCTGACTAGATATGCTTTCTAAGATTTAGCAACATCTATTAATGGGGCCACGGTTACAAACTGGTGGGGGGGGGGGATGCCCAAGGAGCCAGGGAGCGTACAACACCAGGAATGGACCTCTGGGTGATCAGGAGGCCTCCCCAGGGAGGCAATAGCACCTGAGCAGAGAGCTGAAGGATGAGTAGCATGTCTAACATCTGACCTCCCAGAAATCTGTGCCACAGAAAAGCCTGCACAAGTACTTGTGGGCACATACAAGGATGGTTACCGCAGTGCTGTGTGTAATCAGGTAAGTTAGGGGCGCCTGGCTGGTTTGGTAGGAGGAGTATGTGACTCGATCTCAGGGCAGTGGGTTTGAGTCCCATGTTGGCTGTAGAGATTATTTAAGACAATAAAAACTTAAAAAAAAAGAAACTAAGTTAGACCTGGCCTGGGTGTCTTTTAACAGGGGATTAATAGAGGTTCCAAGCACATCCTGATGATCAAAAATGATGCAGCCAGTTCGAGGCGCCTGGATGGCTAGTTGGTTAAACGACTACCTTCAGCTCAGGTCATGATCCCAGGGTCCTGGGATGGAGCCCCGCACCTCTCTGGCAGGCTCCGTGCAGTGTTCAGCAGGGAGTCTGCTGCTCCCTCTCCCTCTGCCCGTCCCCTGGTTCGCGCACTCTCTCTCACTCCCTCTCAATTAAATAAAATCTTTAAAAAAAACGAAACGTAAAACAAAACAAAAATGATGCAGCCAGTTCAAAGAATGAGGTAGGTTTCTTATAAACAAGGACAGATGTCTGACTGAGTGGAAACAGGCAGGGAAACAAGACATGACTCTGCTCTTTCTTTTTATATATGCACATAGAGTGTAGGATTGTTTTCTTTTTTTGTTTTGTTTTGTCTTTCTTACAACCGTAGCTCCCCGCCCCCCCCTCCCCCGCCAACTGTGGGTCACTAAACCATTTTACTGGCTCTTGACCATTATTAAGGGGAGAAAAAAACCCCAAGCCTGACAGATAGGAATAAAAAACATCGGTGTACAGGATGTGAGGTAAGTAAGGATAAGCGTTTTGTGAAACTTCATTCTGGATGTCCATGCGGGGTTGTAACGTAAAGTGCTTTCCCCGTTTTGGGTAATGGTCAAAAATGCTTGAAAGAACTGGGCTGGTGCAGGTCTGGAGGAAAATCTCTGGGGGAGTGTGCACAAACTGGTTATCTCTGGAGGGAGTAATGAGGGGAACGTGGGCAGAATACAAGTCAAGTGAAATCATCCCGGTGGCACAGGGTAAAAAGGCAGCGCTACCTGACACCTTGGTCTCCCCGCTTGAGGCAACCGAGACCCATCCTTTCTTCAGCAGACAGCCTGGGCACACACAGCACACGGGTGTGAGAGGGGGTGTGTATGGTTCCCACTGTTTTATTTTTTTTTTAAGATTTTATTTATTTATTTGCGAGACAGCGCACAAGCAGGGGGATCAGCAGGGGGGAGGGAGAAGCAGGCTCCCCGCAGAGCAGGGAGCGGGATGCAGGTAGGGCTCAATCCTGGGACCCCCGGAATCATGACCTGAGCCAAAGGCAGATGCTTAACAGACTGAGCCACCCAGGCGCCCCTCCCGCTTTTCTTTGTAAAATAAATGGCCACGTATGATAACCTTGCTGCGCACCCTGCTTTCACCTTAATATATTCTGTAGATCTGTCCATGTCAGTCCACACAAGATCCCCTCTCTTTAATGGCCAGAGG